CACACACACACACACACGCACACACACCCGCACAACTCACACGATCAGAGTATCGCCTAATGACCTCGACCTGTTCGCTTGCAAATTCGGCCACCTGTTCGCTGCTAAATCGCAACCAATCCATGCGCAAGGCCGGATTATCCTCCGTCACCGTCAAACTGGGCGCGCGCACCTCTTCAAAGCTTTCGTACGCCTCGCTCCAAAATGCTCTTCCTTGCGCTTCATTCAGCACCGCAATGTCGTCCGAATACTTGAGCGCGAGCCAGTGACGAAAGGCAAGCGTGGCGTGCAGGTCGTATGTGCGCACTGTATTGTGACAGCCCAGCTCATTGTCCAGCTGCGTGCGTGCGTGCGTGCGTGCGTGCGCGTCGATGGGAAGAGTGACGTGACGAGTGCAGTGAGTGCCGATCAGCGAGCGCTCCCATGTACTCATTGCACCGAGCGCACCCCACTCACCTGCCAAGCATCCACGGCGGGATGCATGCCGTACCTCTTTGCCAATGCGCGCGTAATGTTGCTGCTCAATCGTCGATAGTGTTGCGAGGAGAAGCTGTAATGACGTCTGCTTCCAAAATGTCTCTCTCTCAAATACGCATCCCTCGGCAACACCTCGTAGCGCCTGACCACCCAAGCAGGTGGCGTAGCTGTAGGTGTGCCGAGGATGACTTTTAATCCGTGGGCATGCAGCACATGCAACGAAGCATCCAACAATGTCCAGTCATATACGCCTTCGCTCGGCTCTAGCATGGCCCAATCGAATTCGGAGATGCGGACGTGGGTGATGTTGCTGCGAAGCATGAGCTGCGCGTCAGCCTGCCACAGAGAGGCGTGCCATTGCGCGGGATAGTAATCCACTGCGAAGCGCGGTGAAGAGCTCCATGGACGTGTGCGTGCGCTAGAGGAGGAGGTGGTGGTGGAATTGTCGCTGTTGTCGCTGCGCAGGATGGCTTGCGAGGCTGTGCATGCGACGGCGAGGATGGCCAGGCTGAAGAGGAGCGCAAGCGCAAGAGACAGCGCGCTGCCTGTCCACATCTTACAGCGCATCATCATCATACTGGCGGGGTGGCTGTGCGGGTGTGGTGCGCGGTGGTGGTGGTGTGCAGAGCAAAGAAAAGGGAGCGCGAGCATACTCGCACTCGTCACTCTTGACTCACACCACATTCACGCCTCGCACACCTCATTTGCACCTCCATCGCTCCATCCATCCATCCATCGCTCCAGCTCTCATTCAAAAAGGTGGAGGAGAGACAGTCAGTCAGTCAGTCAGGCAAGGGAACGTGCGCGTTTGGGACAGCTTTGCATGTGCATGTGCATGTGCATGCGCGCGCGCCTGCTGCCCTCATCTCCGCGGACTTGACTGCCATGGCATGTATCGTGCGAGAAGACGCGGCGGCATGCAACTCTTCATTCGTCATTCGTCATTCGGCTTGCACGCGGGGCCGGAGCGAGCGAGCGGGGCGGAGGCCGTGTCAAGATGAGAGAGCAGTCGCAAGGCCAAGCCTT